TAGTAAAAGAAAAAAATATAAAATATGCTGTGAATAGAAGGCTATAGTTGAATTATACTGCTAAACTAATTCTTTGTTTAACTGCACCCTGTTGTGAAAGATTATCATTTTTATAGCCTTGCAGTAGCTTTACAAATGTGTGTTAGATTCACAGGTTTACAAGGCCTTGTTTCTGTTAATGTGAACATTAAAAGTCTGTGCGCTTATTTGAAAAACTGAATTGTTACATGAATTTTGCCATCTATAGTTCTTGCTTGTTTAATAAAGACTTCAGAAGTGTCTAATAGTTTATATTATGATTTTTCTTACAGCTAATAAAAATTTATATATTTATTTTCCAGTTCTGCATGTTTCATTAACTACTGCGACATCGGTACGTCTGTGACTAGGAAGAACTCCACTGATTTCATGTTTCTCAGAGATTTGCAGGAACTGGGGACGGAGTTTAAATCTGTGAGTTTCAGTTCAGGTACTGAGCTAAGATCTAGTTTAAATTATTTCATACAAGTCTGCTAAATCCTATTCTTACTATGGTAGTTCATAGTAGTTAGTTATTTTTGCTGGTAACTTATTCTTCTACTTAAAAGAGCTAAAATTTGTATACATACATTTAGTATGAAAAACTGAATCTACCAGGAATGCTGCAGAATCCCATAGCCATTCTGACACAACCCCCCAATTTTTTTAGAGATATTCTCAGTGCTTTGTTATTCAGGTCTTGGGCAGCTTGTTTTACAGCCAGACCACTTATGAAATCTGACAACTGCTTCCAGGTTTGGTTATCAGACTCTGAGTCTAATAAGTACTTCAAAGGTGTTTTAAGCTCTAGTTCTTTGTTTGGCAAATGTTTATTATTCTAATATATAGAGTAGGTATATCTTATGCATGGAAAGGTGAAATATGCGTAAATATTTTTGTATTTCAACTTAACATTGTTTTTTGTTTCCCTGTTTATTGCCAGTTTGTGGAATGGCTTGCAGAAATAAGAAATGGAAAACACAAATGCTCTTGAAAATGGTAAAAGCAAATAAGCACCTCTCAGCAAGCACCATTGAATATGCTAATTTACTATATGGAAATAAGATTTACCATCACTTTTTGGGTATATAAAAGGGGAGCTGCTAAGACAGTCTGGCCTACTCGAAAAATTGAAGAGTGAGCTCCTGAGAAACTAAGCTTTTTGCCCTCTGCACTTGTTGCCACCTTGATCAGGACCGTGATTGCCTTTGGCGATGGGGAGAACAGTGGCAGGAAGGAGACCTCCTGGGAAATAGAAGACAAGGTACAATTTGACTCTGGCTTTATGGAAGCCATGAGCACATGAACAACACAATATCAAAAGCTGCAACCTCTCAAGAAATTGTTATCTTACAGACTCAGAAGAGGAAAAAAAAATTAATCAAGGCTCAAAAGCCTTTAGCTAAGATTTTGACATATATATGCTTTTTAAAGCAATCTGTCCAAAAAACAAACTTTTATTTTTGTGAATGTGGGGATATAAAACAGTTTTACCAGGCATCACGATCATTCATACCACAGTGACTTCTTCAAGGTGCCAAAATTCTTATAGCAGCGATGAGCAGAGATGACTAAGTTGTGCATTTTTTAAAGTAAACATCTTCTAGGTAGGCAGAAGAATCCCCAGACAAGAGAGCTAAGTTATTTAAACCTATCGATTAGAGAAAAATTTATCTTGCATTGCTGAGAACACTTTTTTTTTCTCAACAGTAGCTGGCTTAGTCTATGTTTTACTTGCGAAAGGATTATGGAAAAATTAATATTTAAGAGAGAAGTAAAAATGTTGAATAGGAAATTTTCCTAATTTGTAGCCAAAAAATCCCCATCCTACTCTCTAATGAAGTATATGTAAGAGTCCCTTTATAAAATTGCTCTCCCTCACTACTATGAGAATAGAGATACAGAGTCAGTGACAGATTGCAGTGGCAAGAATGTGACAATTTTTTTCTATATTAGCTTACATTTCTTTAAAAAAATGGTGCTAGTATGCATGATTTCTCTTTCTGCTTGATCTTGTAATGACATCCTCCTCAGTACATAAAAGTGTTTTTTACCAAGAAAATGACGGTTAAACCATAAATTCCAGATAAAATATTCACTTCAAATTATGTGATAGAACTGGATAACTTTCCAGTATGAAAAGGTAATCTTTGATTACTAAAAAAAGCTCTAACATTGTGAAAAACATAAAACAATATGGTGATACTACTGCATAGTTAAGAGATTTAATTCTTCCCCTCTCTGTTAAAAAAAAAAAAAAAAAACAAACTCCTTATTAACAATAGCTCTGTTCTTGGAATTTTCAAAGGATGGTGAAGAAGTGATAAATCCTAATGAATTAGATATGAATACCCAACTTTCTAGTATCTGTTGATCCTCACAGATTTTCCTAGTTTCTATTGTTTGGTGTTACCTGGAAGTTGCAGAGTATATGCTTTGGGTAACTAAATTACTGATAGATTTTCCTGTGAAATGCTTATGTTTACAGACTTGAAATATGAAATGTCTTTGTTTTCCTTTAGAACCAAAATAGAAAAGGTAGTCCCTAAAATCTCCATACAGCTGGTTTGATATTGATTACGTTGATTACACGCCTATCGAAGAACAAATTTGAAGGAAATAATGAAATAATCCAGAGAACTGTCAACTCTTTTTTAGGAGTTGCAATAAGCACAGGTAAGAAAGGTAGGAGAGCTGGAAGGAGTACCTGTTTTTATATTACAGAAGAAATGAATGAAGAGTAGGGTTGTTTTCTGACAGTGGGCTGTAATCCTAATATCAGTAATAATAAAATCATAGATTACAGTTATTCTGTGTAGTCAAATCATAGATAACTGTTCATAGAAAATGCATTCATTCATTCACTATGCCCCAACTCAGGCAAAACAGAACAAAGAAAGGCTTTCTGCCTTTCTTGAAAGAAGAGCTGTCTTCTAAGTGTAATTCCATTTATCATAGCTAAAGGCAAAAGAATAGCTCACATTACCGGAGAAGCTAGGCAGATCTAAGAGAATAGGTTAAGTGCTTTAGGAGCACTACCAAAAGAATGATCAGAAATGAAGACCAAAGAAAATAAATCTGCTTTTTACCCAGAACTCACCTAAAAGCAGAAAATGGAAAATTTTAGTGGCATACAAACTGCATGAAATCTCTTATCTTTGGTGTGCAGTGATGCTTATAACAGGTAGAGCCATCATGCACAGATTAAGGAGAGCACAGGACTCCTTAAGATACGTACAGAGACAGTACGCGTACAGGATAAGGCTAAATATACGCAGACCAAAAATTGAAAAAAACATTGATTATTAGAAACATTGGTTAACAGAAAGTTCCTTGGGTCAGTAGAGGTGTATCCAGTGGATTATTTGCTCTTTATCAGAACACTAGATGAAAGGGTTTTTTTTTTTTTAACTATTTCCTATTTGTTTGTAAATAAGTCACTATAAATATCCATGCACTTGGGTAAAACTATTTGCATATTTCTCTGTTTCCAAAAAAGTTTAGTATGCAGAAAAATAATTTTAATAATGCTGAAAATAACATGAAACAATTCTACTAAAGATGAAATGTACATATAACATGGAAGAACCTATTTTTATAGGGACAATTAGCACACCTTGTAGTTTGGTGAATCTATTGTTAATGAGACAATTAGCACAACCACTAGTTCAATTTCTCTTCAGCTGCTTATAATATGGCTCCCAATATTTAATTTCTATTCTTTTAATCATATGTTTTTGCCTCTAGTGTTTCTAGAATCAGTTAATGATTAAATATAATTTTTATTATTATTTGCAAACTGTTTGCTTAGGTTAGTTACTCTTTACAAATACAGTTAGACTCCTTTTGTTGAATACTTGTTCTTGCACTGTTTTTCGCACCTTAGGACATGCAGTTTATCTACTGTGCATTTCCCTAAAATAGGGTTCATACGTATTTAAGCATCCTTTCACCTCTAGGCAAAGAATAAGGTGGAGGGGAAAGACAATTTCATAAATATCCTTCTCTCTTCTAACTCTCTACCCTCTCTATTTCCTCTAACACTATATGAATATATGCATATTTACTTATAAAATAATTTCCTTTATGGTTCAGTACATAGTCTTTTTTAAGCAAAAAATTGTCACAAAATTTTGAACCATGTAGTGGTTTTTACATCAGGCTCGCAAATAGAAAAAGTAAAGCTAAATAATTTCCAAGTAACTTATCAGACACAAAGATGACTTCTTTTCCTTGCTGTAGTGATAATGCTATTGTACCAAGTTCTTTGCAGTGAAAACAAAGAGGAAAAAGTCAGATAATTATTTAAAGTTGTGAAATCATTAATAGATTGCTCTTTTCTACCCACCTGTGTTAGGATACAATTATTGTCGAATTTACCTCCAATCATTTCAGCATTATTACAGATATTTTCTTCATTTAAAAATTGTATTTATTGTTACTTATATAACATTTTGCTAATAATATTTATCATTATTTTTATGACAATACAAATCAAACATCATTGAATTTTCAGTTATTAGAAAACTGCGTATATGAATACTGGGAAATAGAGCTACAGAAGCTAAAATGTTGCAATATATCAAGGACATCAATAGATCCCAGGTGAATTCTTTTCTAGTTTCCCTAGAACTCTATTTTCATCTTGAGCCTGGCATAAGAAATGAGATGTCCATAGTGAGGTTTACAATTATTTTCTGCAATCTAGTGAGTGACCCCTTTTGCAAGTTTAGGAGCTTCAGGCTGGGGTATATCTGTGTTCAGTTTCTTCTCCCGCTTCTGCTTGCCCCATTTGATTCCCCCTATCACTATTGCTTTGCCATTATGCTCTGATATTCAGATTCTTGATCAGTTTGGTCCGCTTTTCGAGGTTTTTTTTCCAAAGATAAACCTCTTATGCAGATTTTACATAGAGAATACTGGAGTCTGTAAGCTGTACTGTCCCTGATAAATACTATATGCTTGGATATGAATGAAATTACCTTTCTGGCCCCAGAGATAAAAGATTCCAGGTGGAGTAGAAGAAATGTCAAGCTAGTGCATTCTTCATGAGCCTTTGGATCTTCTTGATTTCTGTTACTTCTGATGTGGCTGATACAGAGTTATCAAATGTAATCTGCAGGTAAGGAAGGAGTGAATCATTGGCCAAATCTTCCTGAAACAAAAAAAGGAAAACAGAATAATATGAAAAATCATCAATCCCTTTACACAGTAGTAACTGCTAAAGAGGAGTCACCCTTTTGGATCGCCGGCAAGGATGGACAGCCCTTGGTTTTCCTATAGGGACTGCTGGTCCTCTGTCCCTGCTGCACTTCCAGAAATTCCACGGGTCTTTTGCAGCATGCCCCAGCCTCCAGAGCCCTTCCCATGCAGAAAAGGTAGCAGAAGCCCCGACTGGGAACTGGTTTCATTTCTTGAGCTCTTTTTCATTGATTTCTGAGCGTTTCTAATTTGGTTAAGCCACTTGCATCTGTGTTACTTGGTATAAATATTTTGGTTTCCTGTATGCACAAAATGGGATTGGCTATTATTTTAAAATAAAAGGAATATCTTGAGCTTGTTCAGAAAAGAATAATTAGCTGAAAATGACTTCTGTAGTAGCCTGTGCTATCTGATTGTCAAAACGTGTAAACTTTTAAAGCTAACTGCAGCTTTTCCTTTTTCTCAATAGAGTTCAGGTGAAAAACTATCAGAGTAATTAGCAGAATATGCTTTTGAACATTTCAACATATTTTTAAATATCCATTTTTGAATTCCCCAAACAGGGGAGGGGATGGTAGGACTGTGCATTCAATCAAGTCATCTGTATTTTCACTCACAGTTTAATCAAGCCTGAAGACATACAAGTTATTAGTGGGTTAATATTTTCTAAAAGTCACAGCCTAAAATAATAATGGTTGGGAAGAAATTCAACTATATCAGGGGAAAAATGTCATCCAATGTTGTTTATTATTAAAATCAGTGCATAATTCAGCCCTGTTCCTTTTAGTTCTTTTTATGAAAAGGAAAAAAATTCTTTTAGACCTAATTTGTTTCCATGAAACACATCTGTGCACTTGGAGTACATTCTGCCTCATAATAGAAGCTGATGAGACAACTGATATCTAGGGTAAACAGGGCTGCAAATTTAAAAAATTATTTTTATGATTTTTTCCCACTTACATTAAATTTCACGTTTAAGAAGGCTGTTTTGTACTTCTTTGCCTGAAGCAATAGCTACTGGAGATTAAGAGAGTGTGACAGTTATATTTATAATCAAGAGCTAAGAGTACTGGAACATATAGCCTGACTCCACGTGAACAATAGTCCAGCCTCTTGAAATTTATTGAAGGGCTTGTTATTGATTGAAAAATCTATTTTTCCTTACATCCTCAGTCTTACAGATTTAGCTTTGCTTTCTAGCCTCTCTCTTGCATCTATCCTGATCTCACTTCTCAAGAATATGTACTTTTTAAATGTACTTTTGCTGGCCCTTGAGGAAGACAGTGTCTGTTTTTGGTTTTAAGGACCCAGTGGCTGCTGCACCTGAAAGTTCAGCTGCGTGGGGTAAAAATCCAGCTGCATTTCTTCCTCTTCTGTCTTTAGCGAAATATAGCTGGAGTCAAAAGCACGGAAAGGATATTCTTGGGTAATCATGCCCCTTCACATAGTAGGCGACAGAACTGTGAAAACAGTGGTGTGTTTCAAAAGCGCAACATCAGTTCCTCTTAAATTCTGAGTATTTGTTGGGATCTTTCTCAAATTCCCACTTGCTAGCAACACATCTTCACCCAGTCATCCTGTTTTGCTGTTATACCTCTTTGAAACATTTGAATCCATTTTTGCTGCCTTGTAAATATAGGAGAGTGAGTTTTTTTTGTTTTTTTTTTCCTTCAGTTGTCACGGTTATGGAGACAGACATTTTTGTCTTTCTGGGAAGTAAGAAAACAAAGAAAATAGTAATTTGCTGTTCTCCTTAGTGCCGGGTGAGAAATGAATCTGCTGCCTCCTTGCATCTATATGGAGAGGTAAGTATTCATCAGTAACTTCATCTGTTTACTATGTAATAAACGTACAGAAGAATTCCCAGCAGCACTGCTGAAGAGAGAAGGGCCAATTTTCAGCTCTGGCTGATTACACTGTGAAGCAGAGCAAGAGCTACAACGTCGTCATGTCCCACTGCCCTACTCATTTTCATGAATAAATCAAAGGACAGTTAGGATGGCAAGGTGATGCGTCCAACAGCCAGGGAATCCAAAAGAAATTATTTCTGGTATAGCAGTCACCCAAGGAGTAAAACTGGAATTAAAAGTTAGCACAGCCCTGGAGGAAGGGATTCTGTCAACTCAGTCATACTTAACCTGTATGAACTGAACTTGAGAAAGTTAGTTTGATCCTGGGAAAAATCTGTTTACAACACATAGTAATCCTGTAACATTCACTGACTATATGGTGAAAATTCTCATATTTTAAAGGGTTGTTTTGAGCACTGAAATTATATTAAGAGTTTCATGAGACAAATCAAATTCATATTAGTCTGGGTATGTTCATTTATATAATTTAATGTGTTCATACAAGCTGAGCATATCATTAATTATTTATGCCCTTGTGACCAATCCATATTGCTCAAAGATCTTCTGAAGATCAGTATGCTGGAGGATTGACCTTTTGCTTCACCTTCTGTGCTTGCTTTGGGTGATTCCATTATGAAGTCACTTTTGGCACCTGCTGAGCTTTTGTTGCCACTGTCCTTTCATGTAGTTCTATTGTGCATCTTGAAGCTATAATGGCTTTGGGACAGTCCTCTAACGAAAGTGAATGCCATCCCTTGTTCATTCAGCTGAAGGTCACTTTTTATTCAGGCTAAAGACATTTTATTTCTTGGCTTTTTGATAAACATTGTAAGCCTTGATTTATGCAGAATAGACTGGATTGAAGGTGCTGACTTTTCACTAGTTCCATTTGAAATTATCTTTTCCTAATATGAATGGAAAAGACAGCAATGATTTCTTTATAGATTATCAAAATCGAACTTGGAATGATTCATAGAAGATATGGCTTCCATGTTTATGTAAAATAATGTCTAAAAATAATTGTTCTGGAAAAACTGCTTGGCTAAATATTGAAATGGAATGTAGCAGCTGCTACAAACACCTCCCCACCCCCCCCCCCCGCAAACAGTGAGGTTAAAATATGACTATTCAGTCATGCAAGGAGAAACTGAATATGGTGACTGTTTAATTTTTAAAAGCTGCCATGCCTCTTCAGGTAACACAATTGGACAGTATTTTAGCTAGGGAGCTTTAGGAAACTTAGACCTGACAGATATGTAAATTGAATAATCAGAAAAAGCTTTCCTATCTTGGATTTCATGCCTAGAAGGATTACCTTCAGCCATGTTTGACTTGTTTGGCTTCGTCTTTCTTTATTTTTCTATTCTTTCCTTTTTTTTCTTTTTTTTTCTTTTATATTACAGCCTCTATAGCATATTCGCTTCAAGATAGTAAAAAGGGAGGAAAACAGACTTTGTTTTCAGTGACTTTTCAGTTGGCATTTTCATCTAGTAAAGCTCAACAGGAGGTTCATTTTTTTTCACAAAATTACATGAAAAGGGTAGCTGTTCAGCCATTCAAACAGTGACTGGAAAGACTAAAAACATTTCAAACCCTCATCTTAGATAACAAAAGAAACAACTGGATTATATAATGCTTTCACTGAATCCCATGGTTGCCTATCAATAGACTAGAAGAATATTCAACAGTGAATATTGTAAAGAAATTCAACATTTTTAACATACTTTACTTATTTTTTTCTCTAGCACTTGCAAACAACTTCTCTGTAAAGTACATTTAATTTTGCTTTAACAAACCAGAAAGATGCTGGTAAGGGCTGTAGATGGACTATTCAGAGAACAGGTGGGCAAATAAAATTTTAATGATTCAAGCATTATTAAATTAGAACTGTTTGACATTTCAACAGCATCCATGCGGAAGTGTAGCTCTCAATCTCTGTGAAGGAATATACTGAATAAATAGCATGCAATAACATCATGATCATGGAACGTTCATTATTCCTTTGGATGCACACCAACTGATCTAATGAAAAATAACAGTAAGGGCGTTGTTAATACTTTGTAAATCCAAAAAAGTAGGATTATACCATCTCTGTTCTAATATTCTCTAGCTGTTCAGTTGTGCTAGTTGAAGAGCAATACATATTTTCAATTATTTATATCCCCAACAGGAAAGAAGATTCATGTGTTTGGGTGTTAGGCCTTCATTAATTAAAGCAGAGCTGATGGAGTCCTGAATGCTGCTAGGAGGACTGGAATTTTCCCCAGAAGGATTAAGCCTTCTGGCCTAATCTATATTTCACTCTTGCTTCCTAACCTTTCCTTTCCCACTTCCCACTGCTTTTTGTCACCAAAACTGATTCAGCTACATACGAACAGCACCCACAACTGTCACACTGTTTATCTTACGCCTCTTATTTCACCTGATAACTTTGAGATGGCTCTTACCTTACTGATACAGTTGTGCCAATCCTTGTTTTTTCTATCAAAGGGGTGGTTAAAATGACATTTCTTCTGCTTGCCTAGGTAAGAGTCTACATGATAATTCAGTTCTAAAGTGCAGTCTCTGCATCCTAGAAGACAGATATGTTGCAAAACTGTGCAAATTCATTTGTGATTCCTTGATTACAAGGATTTACTCATTTACAAGCTGACAATGGCTTCCAAGCACTCCCATTTGATGAAAAGAAATTATGTCATTCTAAGAAACAGTATGTAATTATTGCACACTCCAACTCTTGCCAGGGACTATGAATGCCTTGTTCTTTTCAGAGTCTCTGCTCTGAGTGACTTTTAATGTGAAGCACCAAATCAACAGTTGCTTAGACTGAGGTTGTTACTGGTGTAAACCTAGATGTGAAATTCTTCAAAAAGAAAAATCCACTTTATCTGGGTGCTATGAAACAACCAAGTGGGACTTTTTTGGATGTAGGGTTCTCGATTCTACTACAGCTTACTTCAGGCACTCCATCCTTTATGGACTTTGCCCCCAACTAATTAAGACATTTAATCATTTTCTTGATTGTCCTGCCTTCTTTTCCATTGCTCCCTCATCCTATTAGTAAGTTTTAGGCTGTATGCTGTTTGAGACTTGATGCTTAGCAGTTACTGGTTCACAGCATGGCATATTCGCCATGAGGATGAGACCTCTGAAAGCTTTGTATTTGTATAAACGTATGAGAAAAAGAAATCCTTTGTCTTTAGCTATTATCAGAATTCTATGTTTAAAGCATCAGTGAAAGGTGTTTTGACATATTCTTCCCTGCGTGAAGAATATAAATAGGGGGTGTTTATCTTCTCAGGTACACAGGTATGTGCCCTGTCTGCTGGCTTTCCACAGTGACATGAGCCATTTCCTGCCTGCAAGTCATGAAGTTCTTAATAGAGAACTCTTCTGGTGCTGTGGAAGTCCAGCTCAAACGCAGGCTTTACTAGTGCTACCACTGTTGTATGCTGATGTTGTTAAATGCCTTGGCTGACAGATGTGTGCAATGGTAAATTAGCAATGACTGTATAGAAATACTTAGCAACACTCCTTTCTATGACAAATGCAGCAGAGCATGGGAGAGCACTGCTGTATTTTCGTATTTGCTGTCTTCTATTTTCATTAATTTATTTCCTGGGGAGGGGAGGGAGGGAGTTATTTCAAGATATATCTTTAAGAATAAATATTATCTCCTTTGTAAGATAGGTTTGGAACTACTGAACTTATTCAGCTATTTATAGATGGAGTGTTATAACTCATATTTTTCTTTTAAATATGATAATCTTTGAGGTGTGCATAGCTATAAACTCTCCCAACAGACTTCTTTTCACTTAGCAACTATATGAATATGGAGCCAAGCACAATATGCTTAAAATAAAATACATGTATCATAAATAGTTTTCAGCAATTCTCTTTCATAACCATGCATTTTCAAATACTACATTATTTCATTTTTATCACAGTACGCCTTTTTATGTTTAGCATTTACATCTTACCCAGAACTTTATTGACCAAGATTTCCAAGAATTAAGTTTTTGCCTAGATGTGAAATGGGAGTTTCATCCAAAAAATCAGTATGTGGCCAGGACATAATCTATATTTCAAATGGAGCACAAAATTACAGTTTCCTCTGATACTGCAGGTGACAAATAGGAACTCCATAGAGGGTTATTGATTTAGTTGAACAGGTTGTGTGCTGGCACAGGAGGGAGTTCCCAAAGCTTTACTACAACAGAACTGCTGGGCTAACAGCAGGCTAGTTCAGAAAAGAAACCAGCATGCTTTTTGGTATATTTTTTTGACTCTGTTCACAGGGCACTGTATCCACCAGAGGAATCCATAGGAGTCTTAAAAAGCTGAGGAGTGTAATAATAATGTTCAACAATTCAATAATCTTTGAGGTTTTTTTGCAATGCTCATCTGTGCTGATGAATTTATGGAGGTAGGATCTGTTATCGTTCCACATAACATTTGTTTCTGTTAAGGAACATTAAAAAATGGCTTAGATCTATAGCTGATGTCACTCCATTAATTGACTGAGTTATTAGAGAAGCCATCCAATCCCTTTCAGTCTTATTCTGCAGTTTTATGTAGATAGTTGGGAATGAGATGCATAGAAAAGCAGAAAGGAAATTTTGTAAGTATGTGAACGTGTGTGCAATTAGAATAACAATTTCTCTGTTGCAAAATTGGGTAAGAATATGCCTACTTTGCAGTGCTTGCAAGCAGCTGCAGCTAAAATAGTCACAAGTTGTTGTGTCAGTGAAGTTGATGCTAATACGGTGTCCTACTGCCTTTTTTAGTCATAGAGTAGAAAATGGTATAGTAAAATATTGGTGTATGATATATGCAGAGCTTTTAGGATCCTACACAGTATTTATCTAAATGATGCTGAATAATTCATGTTAAGCTAAGTAGTTAATTAGCTAATTAGTGTTCCATTCCAGCAAGACTTATGTTATTTCTGAATTTGGTCTTCTATCTTTCTGCTGTCATATTACATTCTGAAAAATGACAATAGAGCCCTATCTTTTGTGTCTAAACTAACCTTCCTGGGTTCTAGCATTTACATTTTTCTCGGATACTCTGACACCACCTTTAGACTATTACCACAGAAGCAGGGCTTAGTGACCCCTCATTCTTAGGGCCAGTGATAAAGCTTAGCAGTTACACACAAGCAGTATAAGATTCTAAACAAAGCACTAAGTATATAGATATGCACAGGATTACATGACTGTACTCTGTTTCCATGCCTCAGTTTCTCCTTGCTGTTCTTTGCCAAAGGCTCTTCTGCTTTTTCTCTATCTTACTCCTCGCCTGCTTCCATTTAGAGCCTGAGATTTTTCTCCTTCAAAATTTCAAACTACAATACTGACTTTTTTTCATAACCTCTACTCTTTGATATGTGACACTCCATTGCTTTACTCCTTTTTGAATGGGAAAAACTCTTTTCGTAATTAAAAATAAAACCATAGCAACCAAAAATACTGTTTTTCTCTAAAAAATAGTCAAGTCTTTGTCTGTGGGGACATCCATTTGATTACACGATGAACAAGACTTGTGTGCAGGATTCATACACCTTTTGGGGGCCTGCACTTTACCCACTGTAACTTGCCATAGCACTGGAGTAGGCGGTGTTTGAATGTGAAGAGAGAATTGTTCCCAATTAATGGTTATTTTGGAAATTCTTGTAAAGAACTATGAATGCGTGAGTATTATTGCCATTAGTAGATGTGATTAATAATAGGAAAATATGCTAACAGGTGAACATCTTTTCCTGAAAGTCATGGTGGCTTTTTCTCTTTGAGGTATCATTGGTCAAAAAAATGAGGCAACTGTGGAAACATGGAAGCATCCCACAACATCTTTCCCATTCATCTTTATTTTTAGCACTGTTGTATCTAGTGAATAGCACTTGATTGGTGAAAAAATAATGTTCTAAATATCGTTCTGTTGCATAAAAAGTGCAACTGGAGTTTGTCCTATACGATAAGCTGGATTTGATTTAAAATACTACTTACTAAGGATGTGCAAGGAACACAAGACATTCCTACTGCTTGAGATGGTTCTCAGCCTTTGCGAAAATCCAAGTTCTTCCTCACTTTTTGTCAAGTGAATCAGCAGCAGCTCAGTTCCTCAAATACGGAAAAGCTGGTAATGGCCCTCAGTGGCTTAGAATTTTTTAAGTAGTTGAGTACATGCTACTGCACTCTGATATAGACAAATGTGATTTTCAAAAGTAAGTTCCAAAAAATGAAGTTGATGTTAACTGCTTGATTTCCATACCTTGAGAATTGGAGTGGCGTATTTGCATTCCTAAATATAGATTTAGGAGCTTAACTTTGAAAGTAAATCTTGCAAGTCTTTGCCAGCTGCTACATTTAAAATTTCAACATACTCCGTGAGGAAGAGCATGTGTAAGTTCATGCTGCTGGAGGAAAGTAAATGTTGAAATGTCTTTGTTTTTAGATTGACATTAGCAGAGGGAACATAAATAATGATCAATGCCATCAGTAAAAGTGAAAACATAATTTAAAAGTGCAAACATTTTCTAGATCACTATAATGAGCTGAAGTTTACCTCCCTCTCCTCTTCATCTTTTCCTTTCGCTCCCAGATTTTCATAATGGCAATTTTCATTTCACTGGTAACCTAGATATAATATTGTGCATCTAGTAGAATTGTATAAACCAAACTTGACAGAATGGGGACACCCATTTAGAAAAAAAAGCCAAAACATGCAGACATGTGCCACTTTTTTTTTCTTCCAAAAACATTAGAATGCTTTTCTCTAAAAACATTGCCAAATTTATTCTGGGAGCACTAGCTATTTTAAATCAAAGTGGCTAATACTTTGCATATGCATATGCCCTGAATATGATTTCTTGTCAAAACTTCCTTTTTCCAAATGAATGCCCTGTGCAAGTACTTTGGAGTATGAAAACTATGTATGTGATTAATATATACAAAATACAGAATATTCATAGATGTTTTAGTATATTTATAAGATGTTATATCTGGACAATTCATAAAGGTCTGAGATACTGTGAGCTGCATCTAAAACAGGAGTTAGTGAAATCTCTGAAAGTCTCCTGAATTCTGCTGTCAGTTTCTAATGATTTCCTTTTAGATGAAGAAAATGATCACTTCTTTTTTCTAGAAGAATGAATATTTTCCTTTTTCAGATTTCCCTACCAGCTCACCATGCTCCTGTGCTTCCGTCCTGCAATTGCTCTTGTAACTTTGAGATTCGGTAGGAAAATGTGTGACATCCTAAGACACAGGTCTGAGAATGTTGCCAAATTTTCTTGTACATCGTGGAGAATACAATATCCGAAAAACCTAATCAATGGACAAAACATTAAACCAGCTGAGAGCTGTGTTCAGCTAATTTACTGGAAAAGCCTTATAGAATAGATTTAGGAGCAGAGTTTGTACATGAATGAATAAGATACATATTCCTCAGTAGGTTTGTCAGAGATGAGTTCTGAAACTAGTCACTTACCAGCAGAGACAACCAGCTCAATGACATTCAGCAGCACTACTGCATGAAATGAGTCTTAATTCCTTGCTATAAATCTTCACCATTTTTCAATCAACTTTTTTCCTTTC